TCTTTCCCTGTAAAGTCTGCCTGGTAACACACACAACACTGATCAAGACCCCTTGGAGGTCATAGCTGCTTGGTCTTGCAGACCAACACAGACAGCTTGGTGCAACCTATCACATGTTCTTCCCTTGGCAAAATGCTCCTCTGGGGTGAGCAGGGTTAACAGCTCACGGTTGCTGGATGCAGGCAGAAAACTCTATTCTCCTTTCCATGACCTGAGTCCCAGTAGCCAGTCAGAAACCAGTGCAATTTTAGGATGGATAATGTGGTTATCAGAATGCACAACATTCTTGTTCTTCCAGATGCAGCAGTGGAGATGGACCCACCAGGCAAGTTGAGGAAGGGTGGGGGATTTTCAGATCTCGGGTATGTGTGCCTATGTGTGTGTGTGGCTAAAATCAGTTCAGAGGGTAACTAACTCAGCCCACCCTTTTTGTGGATACTCATGGAAACATTCGTCAGTCATTTTTTTAAACCTTTAAATTGTTTCTCATTCTCCTCTCTACATTTCCTGCTTTTCGCTTATCCAAACCCTCAAGAGGAGAAAGACTCCATCAACAGTCTACCTGTATCACCCAGAAGCTCAAGCTGCTGGATACAGCCAGATAAACTTACCTTCATGAGATCTGAAGGCAAAATTTGCTGGATAAAAGCACAGGAATTGTTTTTGGATGGTCTCTCTCTGAACATCTTCTGAACTGTCCTATTCTTTGTGGTTTGGTCACACACACATATGCACACTGGGTCAGAATCTTAGCTGGTGTAAACAAGTATAACTTCAACCAAGGTCATTGAGTTTGCCTAGAGATGCTCAAATGAGGAAATGTTATTGTGTTGCCTTCAAAAGGAAGAGCACAAGGAAATGCCTCCTTCCTAAAGGAGACAGAGAGAGAGACCAGGGAGACTTTGTCACCATGCAGAGTTTCCCTTGCTGGTGGCTTTTGCAAGGTGTGCCAAAAGGTCATTTTCTGATACACCTCATGTCTTCAGCAGTGACATAGAGGTACCATCCTTGTTGGTCAACAGTGCACTGTGCTGGGATCTTTTCACACCAGCTGAGCATCCAGTGAAGGGTCTCTGGTAGATTGCAAGCAAGATTCAGAAATGCTCAGAAGTGGGAAATTAGGAACAGTGACCAAACTTCCTGTATTCCTTTCTCTTCAGCCCCTGTCATAACATCACTATTCCCTTGCTACAGCGACTCAGCTCCTCATGGTGCTTTTTTTTTCTTATTTCTTTTTTTCCTTCTTGGCAAGTTTCTAGTACCTGGAGCATTTTGACCTCACCTGACTGTTACTCAAATGGAATAGGAAAGAGACAAATTTGCAGATGTCCTTTAGGATGCAGGTAGGGCGAATGGGATAATCTACTCTTTACCCTGATCTTTTAGATATAGCTGCTGGGTCACATCAACCAACACTTCTGAGATGCATCCAGTCACTGCAATTAGTTGGTCTTTTGAGGGCAAATTAAGGACTAACTTTCTCAAAACTCTGAAGGAGGTCAAGAAGAGCAGTTGGGATCTTGAGTCTATATCCCATACCTTCTTCAAACAACTTCTCAGGTTAGGACCTGATCCAAAGCTCAGTGAAGCTGAAGGAAAAACTTTATCTCCTCAACATCTCTGAATTTTGGATTCAGACTGGTAGGAGATCTGGTGGCTGAGTGGCAATCCTCTGTCAGGCACTGAAGTACCTCTCCACCAGTTGCAAACACACATGAGCAGATCTTTAAAAGCCAATATTTGTTTGTATTGTTCTTTTTTTGTTGTTGTTTCGTGTCATTAGCTTAAGTCAAAACTCATCATAACCATGGACCACCAAATGGCAGCTATTGAAATGTCAGGTTTTCAAAGAACAATCTTGTTTCTTGCTCTCTCATTATTGTTGGTGGTGGTGGTATTATTTGTATAACAATACTAACAATAGTATTACAGGGAAGTTAAGTAATCTTACAAGAGAAGTCAACTCAAGCGAAAGTTTGGCGTGGAGAGCTAACCAGTTCTGTAGAAATCTGGGTCAGGCCAGCTATGCTAACTGCTCGTCTTTTCCTCACAGATGCTGGTATGGCTTCTGGAGGCAATCAAAAGGGGCAGAAGTTATTAAGAGTCAGCTGTCAGAATGTGTACAGCTGCATTATTTAGTATCCCATGTGGCTGAACCACTGATGAGGGAGAAGAACACTGAATATGCTGGCTCTGGTTTTCCATCTTTCCAAAAGTATGTTGTGCTTAAATCCTGCCAAGTAGATGCAATGACCCTCCTGATTTTCTCACTCAAAGAAGATTCTTAGTATCATTTCACTGCTGGAACAAAGTAAAAACCCCAAAAAACCCAAAACAAAACAAAAAAACCACCCAACACTAGTGACTCACTATTTGCTTGTTTGTTACTGAGAATTCAAGATTAACAACATTTGACAATCACATACCAAAGTTCAAGGAATTAGCAAAAGCCATAAAATTATTTATAAACAAATAAAACACCCCTCACTGAAATGCATTCACCGATGGATTATTTAGAATAAATGTCTAAAAACTGTTGTTAAACACAGATAAAAATTACATGCACGAGGGAAGACATTTTTCTTAATCCTTTCAATTATAAATCAGACATAATAGATTTTTTTATTTCTGGGGTTCATCTGCATGAACAATATTCATGAAAAAATTGGGAAAACGCTGATATCAAAACAGGGAAATAACTCTGCCATTGAGGCACGGAAGACTGTATGTTTGACAAAGTCTGTTCCTATCTTTCCTGAGTTGATGACAAACTCTTGATTGAGTGTATAGGCCATGATCTATTAGGTGGAGACCCAAAGACATCCTTCATTGAGTTTAGTAAGGAAGGGATTAGATTTATGATGTCTAGAAACAGAAAAGGAATCACAATTTGCCCTGGAATGGAAAGCAGAGTGGTCCTGCTACACTTAGCCAAAGCTTCTAGCTTCAGAGTAGGGTCACCTTTGTTTTCTCCACCACCAGGAGATGTGGGCATTTCTTAAGGACAGTTTACCCCCAACCATATGTCTGAGCCTACCTAGGGTGACAGTTCCTCTTCTGTCTCACTTACTAGTACAGACATAACCCCAAAGGCCATGAAAAACAGAAAAGTGGTGAGTTGAGGATGAATTTGTCTGTGATTCATCTAGTGACCACTGCAAACCCTGCAGAGTTTGTGTTCATCCTGCTTCAGGTCCAACATGGCATGATGGAGCAGAGAGAGCAGGTTGTTTTGGAGTCTATGTGCAGCAAACACATGGGCAAAGACACTTTCTCAAGTTCACTTCTAGCAGGAGTTGGAGGTCCAAAGGAGCCAGCTGCCTGTATTTTTCTAGTTTTCCCTCCTCCAGTTTTGTGCCTCTTTTCTTCTTATTCTGTAAAGCACCTGGTAATGCTCAGGTGTCCTATAGACCCTCTCATTTCTCTAAGCCTGCTGGGCTGACACAGGCAATATTGCACTGCAATATCCCAGCTGACTGGCTCACATGAGGAAGAATCTCCTTGCCCACCTTCTGGATGGGTGTCCTCTTCTTCAGTGCCACAGAGATGCTGGGTTTGGGTAGGGAATCTCATGCCCTGGCAGGTTCATCTCATGGTACAAGCCCAGCACCTCTTCTATTCCCATCCACAGCATCACAGTCTACTTCTCCTCGTGAGTCCTTCCTACTTGATCTACCTCTTTTCTGGATGGACACAGAGCTGTTAAATGTTCTTCAGCTTTGTATTTCTTAAGGATGACTTTTGGCAGCATCCTTGTCATTTCTGCTTTGCCTGGATATGTGCAGACGAGTGTTTTTACACCTATATACTGCTTGGTCTTGGTTCAGATGAGATCATGTCTTGTCCTGTTCCTCACCATTCCTCAACTCTGCTTCTTGTTGTCTGATACATATTAGAGCCAAATCAGTTCACAAAGATCTCCCAAAATTGAACTCTTCAGCCAGGGATTGGCTTCGTTTATCTGTTTATGGCCAATTGGCTGAAAATCGAAGAACATCCACAGTGCTGGTAAGAAGTTTCCATTATTTTAAACTCTGAAAATACATTAAGAGGGAAGATCTCCAATTTTTATTCCTGTTTATTGTTTCGACAAACTCAATGGCTGGCTTAAAAGTTTTTACATTTCAGAATCTAATGTTTCAGAAAGTTAAGAAACCTCAGTTATAGGTTGGGTTCTCTTGCTTTTTCAACGGCTGATTTTTCTGCACACCTTCCACCTAGAAAGCTTCAAGATGAATTACTAATGATGAAGAGAGTGATGGGTATATCATAGAATCATAGAATGTTGTGATCTGGAAGGGACCCACCAGGATGATGGAGTTCAACTCCTGTCCCTGCACAGGACAATCCCAACATTCAGCCCATGTCCCTGAGGGCCTTGGCCAAATGCTGCTGGAATCTTGTCAGGCTTGGTGCCATGAGCACCTCCCTGGGGAGCCTGGTCCAGTGCTCCACCACCCTCTGGGTGCCTGAAGAACCTTTTCCTCATGGCCAACCTCACCCTCCCCTGCCACATCTTCCTGCCATTTTGCTCTGCTCCTGGCATTCGTTGGTGGTCAGAGAGAAGAGATCAGCGCCTGCCCCTCCTCTGCCCCTTGGGAGGAAGTTCTAGACCACAATGAGGCCTCCTCTCAGTCTCCTCTTCTTCCTTAACTCATCTGAATCTCTCACTAT